TACAGCACACACCCCAACCTACATTCTCCCTGCAGAACGCAAATTCCTATGTGAAATACCCCAACAAAAGTCCATCCAAATTCTAGCAGAAAAACAATGTCATGACCTGGAACATCTAGAGCTCTCGAAGTCAGGTCACAATGGCTCTGGCTTGGCTTCGAGAACTTTTCAATGACCCAAACAATAACCTAGTCAACGTCTTAGATGCTGATGACTGAGATAGAAAATGGGCTAAGCCATCAGAGGTCACAGAAGTAGGGTAAGTTTTAAGGATTGGGGAAGGGTTAGCTGGGCATGGTGGCCCAGGCCTGAAGTCCCAGCAACTCAGGCAGCCAAGGCAGGAGGATTACAAGTTTGAAGCTAGTCTCAGTAACTTAGTGAGAGAGTCCCAAAATACAAATTCAAAGGGTCGGGGCTAGGGTTGTGGCTAAGTGATGAAGTGCTTGCCTGGCATGTGTGAGGCACAAGGTTTGATCCTTAGCACCACATAAAATAAAGAAAACAAAGGTATTGTGTCCATCTACAACTAAAAAGCAGGGGTGGTGGGTGCGCTGGGGATACAGCTGAGTGGTTAAGCACCCCGGGCTCAATCCCCAGTACCAAAAAAGGGAAGCGTTTTCTCTGGTAGCCTAGAATGTGGACTAGACATCAGGTGAGTGGCTTGCAATGAGGGAGCTGGTGTGAGGAGCGAGCTGGACAGGTGGAGGTGGGGCAGGCCAGCCTGGGGTGACCCTGGAACTCCGAAGGGTCATCCAGGAAGAGCCGGGGTGGGTGTAAGTGGCAGCCTACATGAGGGAACTTGTTCCTTCCCACATGGTGCAAGACAAGGTGTAACTGTTTGTTCCATCTCTGCTCCCAATGACTGTGCTTCTCCCTTCCTGGCCTTGATGTAGGACACCTCATGCCTCTGCCATGCATCTTATGAAAACTTAAAATGAAAATACAAGTTCAGAGCAAATTTAAAGTTCTGTGAAACTTGTCAGTTTAGTAAAACTGATCCTGAATACAGTGCCAATCACTCGGGCACTTCACTTCTCAAAGGGAAAGGACACTTGCACCTTGGCATGCGCCTGCTCTAGACCAACCCCTTCATTAGACCCTGCACAGAGAAAGTATTCTCTCTGCAAGCTTGCTCATGCTTTGCACATGAGTCACTCTAATCTTCTGAGCACTGTCACCTGTGCCAGGTAACTATACAGTAGCTATCGAATAGAAAAGCCAGGTCCTGGCAAGACAGCCACTCTGGGGGCATCATATCCACCAAGTGGAGGTAACTGTGAGGCCCTCCTGTGTGTAGGACAGCAGGCCCTGGTGCTCAGGAGTAGGGGGGCTGTGGGTCTTACTTAAATTCGAGAGCACCTCAAGGCCACCCATCTATTTTGGGGATGAAAAGGACCTCCATCTAAAAGAAAAGAGCTGAGGATTGAACCCAGGGCCTCGCACGTGCTAGGAGGTAAATGGGATGGGGAGGGAGGGCGAAGTACTGAAAAGGGGACTTGGAGCAGCCAGCACACAAATCCTGGAGCTGCACAGGGAGTGGAGAGCTGGACAACAGCGGCCGAGCACAGCAGCACAGAGCAGAAGCACGGGGAGGCAGCAGAAGAGTTCTAGCCTCAGCCCTTGGCAACAGTGAGAAACCACAGAGAGCTGCCCCAGAGGCAGAAATGAAAGTGAGGGGAACGGACAGAGARCTTAGAGAAACAGCAGGTTGATGTGAGTTTTCCTACTCACATTTTATCGGTTTTTGCCATTAGAAATAATTCTTTCACTACCTATGTCAAAGAGCCATAAGGATAAATAACAGGCACAAGTACTTAAAAAAATAAAAAAMCAAGGATTTTTTAAAAATGGAAAATTATAATGAAAAGCCTTTCAAAGGAATCTAATGTTGCCCTCTGATGGACTGCATTTCGTCATTCTTACCCACTTATCAAAAATAATTCCATGTGGATCAGGAAAGAGCTGCATGGATGAAAAATTCAAGGCCGGCCTTGGCAGCATAGTAAGATTCCACCTCAAGGGGAAAAAGGGGGCTGGGGATGTCACTCAATGGTAGGGCACTTGCCAGGCATGCACAAGGCCCTGGGTTCCATTCCCAGTAGTGGAAGGAAGGCAGGAAAGGAAAAAAGCAAAGAGAAGAGAGAGCCATGAGATTATGGCTGTGTTCATAAAACAGTTGTACCGATTTAGCTGCTTTAATCCAAAATTCGTCTYCTATAGCAAATACGCTGATAAACCATAGCTCCAAAACCTGACACTCTTCATGGCTTTTAGGCTATATGGTCACTTGGTCAAAAAGTAAATAATATAAATTTAAATGGCTTAATTTTAACATAAAAATTTTGAATGGGGTGAAACTGTGGATTTTCCTCCATGACTCCTGAGAAGCACCTCATCTGCACTGGACAGGCATCTTTTTCATATCTGTCAACTGCTGAAGCTATGCCCCAAAGTTTTGGAGAACATAAGAAAAATCAGCATAAACAACCACTGTTCAGAGGACAAAACCTGCGGTCTCTGACTGAGAGGAGGTCACTGCAGGAAGTCTAACTTGGACATGATGCTGCCAGAGAGGAAACTCTCACAATGAAAGGAGCACCTGGACTGGCAGTCTGCAGCMAGAGAGCGACAGGCTGGGAAGTAGGATCAAAGGGGCCCTGCAGGCGATATCTATACATGCATGTGACACAAGTGGCTGGGCTTGAGAGTGGAGGCCCTCTTTGAGCATCTTCTTCCCCAGCTAAGTGGCTTGGGAGGCAGCCCTGCTCCTTGGGGAAGGTTTCAGTGAAGGTGACTCAAATGGTTGTTTAYGTTACTATGCTCGGTTCTCTCAGGTACTGAATCCGCACACCAGAATGGGAATGTAACCTTTTTTWAAAAACTATTTATTTGTTTTTTAGTTGTAGCTGAACACAATATCTTTATTTCATTTATTTGTATGGGGTGCTGAGGATTGAACCCAGGGCCTCGCATGTGCTAGGTGAGGGCGCTGGGCCACAAGCCCAGCCCCATGCTGAAGAATTCCTAATTGTCACTGGACACCCCCCGTGAAGTTCCAGTTCTTAAGACAGGACTTTCCTCTGACCTTCTGGGTCCTCCTCTGCCCACCCCACAAAAGTGAGGCCAGGCTTCTCACAGCATAAGACCTCACGGCCTCAGGCACTGTGAGGCTCCTGGCTCACCAAGACCATCTGCTGCCCAGAGCTCCAGGCCCATTTTACCCGACAGCACAAGGGTAATTTGACTCGTGAGCATGTCAAATTCAACGAGTGCCACCAGTCATCCAACAGACCAATGACCACATTGGTCCTTCTGCCCCAAATCCACTCCCTTCCCTGCCTGGGTCTGCCAGGCCTGGTCCACTATTGCTTGTCCCCGTCTCAGGGCTGCCTGACTGTCCTGACTCCGCTGACTTCTCTCTCGAATCTCTCCCTTTTTTTAGTTCTACCCTCGGCATTTCTTCTTTGGTGTAGTACTTGTCAGTTTGTACTAAGCAAATACTGCCCTGACCGGCAGCCATACGCCTCCCCAGCACAGGCCTGGTACAAAGCAGAGCCGCAAAACACATTTGTGTTGGACTGCATAACCCTACACATGACCGCTATTGCTGAAGCTAGAACCCTTCAAGTAGAAGCATCTCAAGATCCAATCAGCCTGCAATTACCTCGATAACAGAACAATTAAGACAGCTGGTTAGAAAGATCTGGATTAACACATGCACTTGTGTTCTCCAGAGATGTTTTAAGTCCCCATAACACATTTCTTCAGGAACGAAAATGGCTGAGTTTATAAATATCCTCAACTTTTCCATCTCCTGCTCAGAAATGATAGGAAGAAATGATGACTCAGTTTCACAGCCTCAAAGCTGTGCCCAGTAACCTTAGGATGATGGCGTGGAAGGCACCTCATGCTTGCCAGGAATTTGCTTTGGTGTCATAATTAGGTAAACTAAGAAAGGGACCCATTTTACTTGCATAGGTAAGGACTCCTATCTACACCTTCTCGAACTTTTCCTCTTGCGTCAGTCAACTGGCATGTGTTGGCATCAGAGTTCACAGTACAGGAAAAGCAGCCCCTCGGCCCGGGTGGGCGGGTTGAGGCTAGAGTTCACTTCCCCTCCGAGTTCCCACAACCCGATGGGACGTGTAGACGTTCTCCCCTCGGTTCATCCTGGTGCCCACCCGACCAGGCTCCGCACGAGAGACCCAGAGCCCGGCGCCGGGGCTGCCTGAGCCGCTGCTGAACGCCACAAAAACCCTTTAGCTTTAAACCCTCGGGGGCATTCTAGGTAAGTCGCCGCCGCCACGGGCACTCGTCCTCCTGGCCCAGGGCGCAGGCACCCTCCGAGGCCGCCAGGCCCGAGGTGCCAGCGCCGCCCTCTGCTCGCGGCCCCGGGGCGCCCACCTGCCAGGGCGCCGGCGACACCCGACGGGCCCGCGGAGCGCCGGGGGACTCGCGGCCTTCCCGCGCTTACCAGGGTGAGGGCCACCTCCAGCATGGGCGCCAGGGCCAGCGTGCCGTGGAAGAGGGGGATGCAGTCCACGAAGAGGGTGTGGGGGGCGCCCGGGCCGCCCAGCGGCAGGTGCTCCTTGCGCGGCTTCTGCTTCTCGGCCACCAGCAGCCCGTTGACGGCGCAGTGCGGGTACTTGGCGCCGTGCAGCAGCATCTTGCAGTAGGCCTGGGTGGTCAGCTTCACCCCGGGCATGCTGAGCCCGGCGGCCCCGCGGGCCCGGACCGCGGCCGGCCGCGCGGCGCCTCCGCCGACAGGCAGGACGAGGCGGCGGCGACCCCTGGCGCGGACTCGGGCWGGCGGCCCCACAGGCCGGCCGCTTCCGCCCCTCACCGGCCGCCGCCCCGACGCGGCTCGCCCTCCTCGCCGGCCCGCCGGAAAGCGGCCTCGCCTGCGCCTGCCGGAAAGCAGCGCCGCCCGGCGTTTCGCGACGTTCGCGGCGCTGCTGCCTTCGCGCGGCCGGGCGCGGGCGCGGGCGGGGCTTCTCGGTTCCCGTGGTGCCCCGCGGCGTGGCTCGCTCTTCCGGCCAGGGCCTCGGTCTTCCGGTCACGGGCAGCCGGGGCGCAGAGGGCGGTCGCGGCGGTCGCGGCGGCGCAGGTGAGTGTGGGGCGGCCGTCGCTGGGCCGCGAGCCGGGTGGCTCGTGGGGTCGTGGGTCGGAGGGCCTGCGCGCCTCGGCCGGCAGCCGGCGCCCGCGTGGGACGGCGGGCTGACTGGGGCGCGGTGACATTGAGGCCGGTCAGCGGGGCTCCAGGCGCGGGGTCCCTCAGGCAGCGGCCTCCGGGCGGCCTCGGAGCCCTGGGCTGGGCCGTATCCGCCCCTCCACAGACACGAGGCATGCCGGCCTCAGGCTCTGACTTCAGCACACCGCTGCGAGGCGCAGGCCTCGGGGAGGCTTGCCGCTGCGCTGTGACCTAGGCCGCTTCCTTCTCCGCATCCCAGCGACCAGGTCACGCGGGGGCCTCCAGCGCTTGGCCTCCCGCGCTTGGCCTCCCCGCCAAGCTCCCACTAGCTGCGGGCTGGGTCCTGACGTCACGCCGGTTTCTTTGCCCTGGGGCGACATTTTCAAGGGCTTCGGAGCCTTCTGGTCGCCCTGCAGGACGAGCGCAGGTGCAGTGTGGATGCGACGGAGCCGTGTAGGTGGGCCCGAGTCCAGGGCCCCGGGAGCGGGTCATCGAGGTCGTCCGTGGTCCGCAGGGCTGGAAGCGGGCCAGGGCCACGTTTGGCGTCTCTGCCCGCTGCGATCCGTGCACCGGGAGGTTTTTCAGTACTGCTCGATTGCGGGCCTGTGCCATTCCCTGTGAGCGCTACCTTTCCCCCAGAGACCGAGCTTGTCTTGGTAGCACAGCACTTTACTGTCTTATAGCATTCCCAGTTATTTTTAATTTTTTTCTYCTCATATTTTAAGAAGGCTGATTTTCTATTAATTTCCCAGAACAAGTATATGTTATGGCACTTGGGTTTATCACGGAGCTCTGTAAAAATGTACTACCAAAAATACTTCATGTTACTTTGTGAATTAGGATCATTTTACAGAGAATGGATCATTATGTTGGATAGAAGCAAAAAAAAAAAAAAATGAATTGGAATCACTTCCAAAGTGCCCTGGGGCAAAAAGATGGCTTATCCCTAATGTGTGTTTGCCCTCATTCATAGAGAAGGTATATGTTTTTTTTTCTTCCAGAATGTTGGCTACCAGGGTCTTTAGCCTAATCGGCAAGCGAGCCATTTCCACCTCTGTGTGTGCACGAGCACATGGTAAGTCTGACTTTCCTTTAAAATGGGCTGAGCCCATTATTTTGCTCCTGCTGTGTACCAGGCCCTGTGCTGGGGTTTCAGGGATGCCTATGATCTTGGTCTTAGAGTTACTGGACTGCAGGGTGATATGGATATTTCAGCAGGGATTATATTGAGGTCTATTTATGAATCGTGTTAAATATTAGTGGGGGGTCCTTGCTTATGTTGTTATTTCCCCATTTTCCTTTCTGGTTTTTCAGGTTCCAGTTCCACCCCTTTCAAGAGGTCTCACTACATCTGACTTTAGTGACCCCCCTACCCTGACTTCTGTTTACACAGTAGAGGCACTGGAAGCAAAAGAGCTTGGATGTCCACCTGAGCTGGGTTGGAATCCTATTTCTATTGTGACTAGCTACTTAAGTTTAAATTTAAGAATCTCACCTGAAATATATAGAGAGGTTAGTTCTGTGCCTGGCRTATAACCAGTTGTCGCTCACAGCTGGAGTGGAGGGAGCTCAGCTCCACCAGATCTCCTGCAGAGACCCATCCTGGTTGAGGACAGGAACACAGAAATTCTTTAGAACGTGGAATCCTTTTGCTTTTTTATCCCTTTTTTTAGAAAAAGAATGTTTGGTGTTTCAGCCTTTGCTTTCCTCTTTCATTTACTGGGGAATCAGGCCCAAGGCTCTGAAGAGCCCAGGAGATTGTCAGTTGGCTGTTCTTGTTTTAAAATATGCTGTTTTATGGCTAGTGTGCTCCAAGGCTGTGAGACTTTATGTCTTTATAACAGCTTTATGAGATGTAGTTCACTGACATATTCATCCAATTAAACTGGTCTTTAGACCGTTCACTGGTAGGTGCCATTGTTTCTGCTGTTGAATCTAGAACATTCTCATCGGTCCAGTTTGTATATCTTCAATAACTCTTAACAGCTAGAGACTTTGGGTGGGGGCGTGCTGAACTTGGTAAGCTTTCTAGTCTGCTTGTTTTAATTGGGAACTAGTTCTGGCCATTTTCACTCCAGATCCTTTTGGGGTGGGGGCAAGTGCATTTATGTAAGTGTGCCAGTGGTCTGCTGGCTTGAGATCAGCACCTGGAGGAGCTGCACTGTTGCTCAAGGCTCAGTGTCTTATTGCACGACTGTGTGACTTGGGAGCCTCTAACCATGTGGCTGAGTTGGTGGAGGGAGAGCATTTTTTGCAGGGCTCTGTCTCTCCAGACCAGTTTGGGACATAAATTGATCTTGCAGCAGAACAGAACTGGAGAAGCGCTGTCAGTGGGGATCCTGAAGTGAAAACAGCTTCCTCTTCTGTCCTGCTCTGTGCCTGCAACACACAGTACAGGCGCATTTTAAACAGAGTGAGGGGTCTACAGGCCGATCTCTCCTCCTCCCACTCGCAATAGCTAGGTTTTACCCAGCCAGAAGTTTTTGCCTGTGTAGTTGCACACATGTGATTCACGTGTGTACATGATTTACGTTTTTCAAAAGGAAAACAAAAACAGCACCAGCCTTTCTGTGACCCACTGAGTGCTTGATTCCTGTGCCTGTGGTTCTAGGACCGCTTCATTCACTTAGTGTCATGGCCTGTCTCCTGCACAGGAGCATTCCTGTCATGTAGTTTACACAATTTTGTCCCCACTTCTAGAATGAGGTCTTTGATTGGCTCACCGACAATCCCATACATCTAGAGCCACACTTAGCAGGCAGTAGGTGCTTGGTAAGTTGGTGAAGAATGAGCAAGAGACTCTGATGCCCTTTCTAAAGGGTTGGCGCAACTTCTGAGCCAGTCCTCAGTTGGGCACAGTGATCCCCATAATGCTGCTGCCATGGCCCCTTTTCCTGTGCCTAGGTTTCTGAACTTGGAACGCTTGTTCTTCTGCCTTTCATGTTGCCTTTGTTCTTATCAGTTTGAATCCCTTGCAGTAGGGCCGTCCTGGGTCCATTCTCCCATCCAGGCAGGGAACCCTGTCCAGCTCTTGTGATAACCGYTACAGGAAGTGGTGCCAGGGTCCATTAGCGGTTGAATGAAGTGGTGCCAGGGTTCATGCTATGTATCATGCTTCCACTTCACCACCGGCCACCGTTCTCATCCAGATGTCCACCCCATGTGCTTCCAGGGAGCGTGGTGAAGAGCGATGACTTTGCTCTGCCCAGTTATGTTGACCGGCGTGACTACCCCTTGCCTGACGTGGCCCATGTCAGGCAGCTGTCCGCCAGCCAGAAGGCCCTGAAGGAGAAGGAGAAGGCCTCCTGGAGCMACCTGACCAGGGACGAGAAAGTTGAGTGTGGGTATCAAAGGGCAGGCTGGCACACCCAGCAGCACCGGGCAGCGCGTGGCATGGATTGCTTATTGAGCACTGCTGGGTTCTCGCTGACTGTCCTGGGGCCCCAGCTCCCTGGGGAGGGGTGGAGGGGGTAGCTGCAGCCTCAGAGTAGACATGGTGGGTAGGACTTAGCCTAACTGTAAATTGTGGCAAGAAGACCCCTACAAGCCTCTGTTCCTTATGAAAGGGGCCTGGAAAGAATGTGACAGAGCAGACCCTCACATGGATCCAAAGGAAACGTCATCCCTTCGTCCCTCCTCCCCTCAGGTGCTGTTGTGAGGGCGTGTGTGCACACGCAGGGGWGTTAGGGCCAAGGCTGCGCTGTCACCCTCAGCTCCTTGTTTTCTCCCTTGGCTGTGCCATGGGGAGGGGGGAGCCTGTGGAGGAGGGATGTGGCCACTTCAGGCTCTTTATGCCTGCAAATGGCTCTTCCTTCTGTCCCAGTGTATCGTATTCAGTTCAACGAGAGCTTTGCCGAGATGAACAGGGGCACCAATGAGTGGAAGACTGTGGTGGGCGCAGCCATGTTCTTCATCGGCTTCACCGCCCTCATTCTGATCTGGGAGAAGCGCTACGGTGAGTACAGTGTTGCGCCCAGGGCAGCCCCCACCCGCAGTGCCCAGGAGTGTGCTGGCAGGACCTGCACACTGCCTTGGAGCCAGAGGTGGGCACTTCCGTTCCAGGGTCTATCCCAGGGTGGTGTTCCGGGTCTGGGGACATTGAAGCGGTAGGAGGTTGGTTTGAAGCTGGAGTCACCCTTCATGATTGCACATCCTGTGTGAGCGAGTACTTGCTGCTTAGCAGCATGCCACCACCTCTCAGTGGCAGCTCGATGGCTCACCAGCCAGGTGTCCGGAGGTGCCTGGCAGGCGCTGGTCCTGGCAGCTGCCTGGGTCGCGGTGCTGCACCTCAGCTGTAGCCCGAGCCTCAGGCCCCTCCCRCAGGCTCCATGGGGGCCCACTCTAAGGCAGCTTCTGCCTTTTGAGAGTGCATTCCTGTGCTTCAGGTTTGAGTGGGGATGTGGTTAATGGCACACCAGCCTTGTCTGGTCTTCCCGGTGCCATTGGCCCCGAGTGCCTTGTGCTAGCCTGGGGTCCTTGCTGCCCATGCCTGTGGAGATGTGCTCCAGTTTAATGATCTTACTGCTGACCTTTTGTAAATAGGAATGATTTTAAAAACATCAGGCCTTGTCAGTGCCCAGAAGCACAACCTTTGGGTGAGAGTAGAGTTGAGTGGAGAGTGGCTTTGTGCTAGTGGCCTGAAAGGGGACCTAACCACTGTGAGGCACTGGGTGGGCAGCCTGTGAGGACAGTCGTCCTCATACAGTGGTTTTGAACCGCAGTGTACGGCCCCATCCCGCACACCTTTGATGAAGAGTGGGTGGCCATGCAGACCAAGAGGATGCTGGATATGAAGGTTAGCCCCATCCAGGGCTTCTCCGCCAAGTGGGACTATGACAAGAATGAGTGGAAGAAGTGAGAGCCCGCTGCTCACATGCTGGTCATTTCAAGTTCCTCTGCATCTTTACTGGAAACCCATTACGTCCAACAGAACCAGTGCTAATAAATGACGAGTTACGTGGAATCTGTGTGGTTTCTTGGATGGTAACTGAATGAAAGTGTATTTAAAACTCTAGGTTCTCTCAGGCATCCGGAGTAATGTATTGTGGGTGTAAAGTAAATGGCACAAAGCTTGTATCTTAAATTGTACAAGGGGATGTTAGATAAAAACTAAGAGTAGAGTCTATGATGTGGGGCTTTTTAAAACTTTCTTGTTTTTGAGACAGTCTTGTTAAGTTGCCCAGGCTGGTCTTGAACTTGTGATCCTCCTATCTCAGCCTCCTGATTTGCTGGGATTATAGTTGTATAMCACTGTGCCCTGTAATGTTGAGGGTTTTTTTTTTTTTTTTTGGTGGGGGGAGGGTACTGGGATTGAACTTGGGGTACTTGACCACTGAGCCACATCCCCAGCCCTGTTTTGTGTTTTATTTAGAGACAGGGTCTCACTGAGTTGCTTAGTGCCTCACTTTTGCTGAGGCTGACTTTGAACTCAGGATCCTCCTGTTTCAGCCTCCTGAGCCACTGGGATTTCAGGCGTGTGCCACTCCTCGTTTTGAGTTTTGACAGATTTTTCAGTAAAATCTGATTTATTAGCCAGACCAACAGAAATTCCAGTGAGACACTTTTTTTTTTTTTTAAATATTGTTTTAGTTGTAGGGGGACACAATACCTTTATTTTCTATGTGATGCTGAGGATCGAACCCAGGGCATCACATGTACTAGGTGAGCACTTTGTCATGGAGTCACAATCCCAGCTCCCATGAGACACTTTTTTTCTGGGACTGTCTCTTGTCCCCATTGGCTRGACTGTGAGGTGACTGCCCTTATGCACAGGGCAGGCCAGATCATGAGCTCCCTGACGGAGGTCCAGGTAATGGATTTGGTGGCCTTGACTGACWTATGGCTGCTCAATTTCAACTTCTCTACTTTCACCTTAAAAGGCAGCAGTAGGGATGGGGTTGCTCCCTGGTGAGTGCCGGAGGCCCTGGGTTCCAGCGGTGTAACGAGCATCATCCCTCCGGCCAGACCCCTGAAGACTCAACCCTGTTGGCCCCTCCCTGTCTGGAGATGTGCTAGGAGAAGCAGGAGGAGTGCTTGAACAGACATGGTAAGCTGATGGTCGCAGGGGTGGCTGGTGCAAAGGGTCTCCCGCCTGCATTGGATAGGAGGGAGACTGGCAGGACAGGGTGACCCTAGGGAAGCCTGGCTGTAGGGGAAAGYCGGGTTGGGCTCTTTGCTTGACCATTGGGACTGCCTGGAAAAGGGCCTGGGGCCTCTCAGGAGGTTTCCAGAGCAGGCTGTTAGCCCTGTTCGCTGGTCTTCCTGCTGCCCTGAAAGGCCCCCATCCCTCTTCTCAAAGGGCCTGCAGACGTGCATGTGGAGGAAGTGCTGGGGTCTCGCTGTGGGGACCAGGTGGTGCCAGCTGCAAAGCCTGAGCCTCCCTCTGGGCAATGTCATTTCAGCTCCCAAGGGTGGGGTGGGACTCTGGCACTGTGCAGCCTCATGAGCAATGGCAGGTAGGTCCCTCTGGGCCAGGCATTTCAAGGATGGGCTCACTCACGACTCCCAAGAGGAAGGGGCTCTGCCCCAGCTGTCAACCTGGATTGTCGCGTTCCTCATGCCTAAAACACTCAGGGTCACTCCAGGTGAACTAGGCTGCACGAAATAACCACACAAGAGACAGAGATACCTTTTTCTTTGGCGTCTCATGACGGCTTCTCTGACCTTAAGGGTCTGCAGAAAGCTCAAGGGAGCCTGTGTGTGATGAACCCTTTTATTGAGGAGCAGCCATTCAAATGAGGCCAGGGGTCAGGTTTCAGGGGCTGAGTCTAGTTTGTGATGTCTGCTGCCAGCAGGTTGACTGACATCTAGGAAGGCCATGCCCAAAGGCAGAGCAAGAGAAGGGGATACACAAAGGGTGTTTTCATGGAACATTCTATCCCAAACAGGACAAAGGGGCAATATCACAAAGGAACAGGTGAGCGTAGCTCAATCCATGGGGTGCCTACGTTGAAGATGTGTCCTTAAACTCCTGGGACCCGGGCAATGTCTGGGTCACTATGAGGTGTAGTGACGTCAGAGCCTCTCCGACTCAGGGAATCCTTCAGACCGGCTCCCCACACTGGATGGCTCCCAGTGGGGCCTCCTTGCACCCTGGGCTATGTGGCCTCGCCTCCCCACCAGTCAAAAGACAAGACTACAACAATTCAGAGATCTTGGTTGGCTTTTGGGTTTTTTTTTTTTTTTTTTTTTTTGGTATAGAGGATTGAACTCAGGGGCACTGGACCACTGAGCCACACCCCAGCCCTATTTGTATTTTTTTTAGAGACAAGGACTCACTGAGTGGCTTAGTGCCTCACCSTTGTCAAGGCTGGCTTTGAACTCGGATCCTCCTGCCTCAGCCTCCGGAGCTGCWGGGATTACAGGTGTGCACCACTGCACCCGGCTCGATTGGTTTTATTTTCGGTTCTAGAACTGAATTACAGTTCATTTCCTAAATGAGCAAGTGCTCCAATGGCCTAAGCCAAGGAGGCTGGCTCCATGGGTGGGCTTGAAGGAGGCAGAGATGGACTGCAGGGCAGATGGGTCATTTCCAGGTGGCTTCCCTTAAAAGGGGGCGGTGATTGCCCAGCCTAGGTTACTTCAGGTCACCTCGTGTGCAGCCATTCAAACAGAACTCTGTTACCTTGCCAGAGGAGACAGAGCTATTTGAGAAATCTGGCTGTTCTCTCTCTAGTTCTGACTGGAGGATGAGAGGGACAGCGTGGTTTCAGCTTGGTGACTGGGAATGTCAGCATGCATGGCTCCGTGTTTATGAGTGGCCTGGTCTGCAGGAGCTTGGTCTCCAACAGTGACCTGTGATTTTAACACCACTTAGGAACCCTCTCTCTCTGCTCAGACTTGAGATCCTCCCGCCTCAGCCTCCCGAGGAGTAGCTGGGATCACAGGTGTGCACCGCTGCACCTGGCTGAAACCTGCTCTTGAACTTGCCAAGGGAATTGCCATTTGTACGTTGGCTTTAGATTCTAAAATGTGGACTCTTCTGTTGTCCTTGTGCCTTAAAAAAATCTGTTTACTGCCACTTCAGTGGGTTGTGAGGAGGGATTCAGTGGCTGGATTCAACCTGTGGCCAGCCAGTTGATCTCTCTGCCCAACCACAGAGCCGAGGGGCTCAGTGCTGACCCGTCCGGGGCCCTCRCCCTTGGGGCTCCAGGAGACAAGTAGCAGAAGGGTGCTCTGAGGGGCGGGGCGGGTGCCTGGGTGGGCTGGGGCGCTGACGGAGGAGGCAGCTCTGGGCTGAGGCCTGAAGCTGAGATGGAGCCAGCTGGGCTAGAGGGGTGGGTGGGGGTGGCAGGACCACCCAGGAGGGCCCTGGTGGCCCACCTGGCCGGGTGTGTGGTAGGGACAGAAAGAAGACCATGGGCCCAAGGACTGCGAGGGGGCTCTGGTGCCAGCGTGCAGGGCCCTGGGTGTCTTCACAGGTGGTGACCCCAGACCCCTCTCCACAGAGGGGCGGAGCTCTGTCCTGAGAGTGTGCCCTGTGTGGATCGGGCAGCCCTCGCTGCCCGGTGCTTCTGGCCACAGCGCCCCACGGCTGCTTCCCTGCACACTGCCCCCATCCAGGGCCTGGCAGTGCCTAGGGACCCGCAAGAGCAGCTGGCCACCAGGCTCCTGGAGACGGGTCCCCTGGGTGGCAGCACTCTGAAGGGGGTGACATCTCCCAGGGGGACGTCTACGCTTCTTAAACACACTTTGGCTGCAGAATCCACTAACATAAAAGTTGCCATCTGAAAGTCAGGCCTGGTGGCCACGCAGGTCATCCCAGCAGCCAGGAGGCTGAGGCAGGAGGATCGCAAGTTCAAAGCCAGCCTCAGCAAAAGCCAGGCCCTAAGCAACTCAGCRAGACCCTGTTTCTAAATAAAGTACAAAATGGGGTTGGGGATGGGGCTCAGTGGTCGGGGGCCCTGAGTTCAACCCCTGGTACCCATCCCCCCAAAGTAGCCATTTTAGCCATGCTAAGCGCACAGTGGGTGACATTAAGTGCTTTCACGTCCTGCCGCCATCGCCACCAGCCGTCCTCAACCTTCACRTTCCCAAACAGAAACTGCTGTGTTGAGCACTTGTGTCCCCCGCCCCCAGCCCTGGTGGCCCCTGCGCATCCTGGGGACTCACGGGCGCTTGCCTTTCTGTGGCTGGCTGTTCACTTGGCTCAGTGTCCCCAGGCCCTCCTTGTCGTCATGTGTGATGTCGCCTGCCCTTTAAGCCGAAAGGCCCTCCAGCAGATACACCGCTCTTGTCCTCACGTCAAGGGTGACAGTCGTGGGCACCTCTGGCCACCGTGAGCAATGCCGCCGGGAACCCAGCCCTCTGAGGCCCACGGGGGGTTCTTTGATGTGTTCCCAAGTGGAAAAAGAGCCAGGACAGGGCAGGGCCTGAGCTGGGGACAGGCCGGGGGACCGCAGGGTAGAGCGGCCGGCTCCTCCCACTGTGCCCGCAGCGACCCGCTGGCAGGGTTTCTGTGCCCCCTTCAGCCCCTCTGTGGCTCGAGGCTCTGCTTCCTGAGGGATCACGGATTCTGCCAGGACACAGCAGTGGCAGTGTGTGGGGAGGGAGGCGGTGACTGTGCTGTCTGCGAGTGGCCCTGAGACTGCACGGTGGGGACAGGGAAGGCCGTGTCTGGAACCCAAGGGGTGCTCCTGGGCACCTCGGGGGACTTCACAGGTCTACGGTGAAAGTGAGTGGAGGCACCTTGGCACAGCGAGTCCACGGGCAGCCAGGCCCCGTGAGTGAGGCGAGGAGCCCTCCCAGYGGAGGCCTGGGCAGAGGCCCGGGGKAGGCCAAGGAAGCGGTGCAGAGGATGGCGGCCAGGCTCGGTGAGGAACAGAGTGGCACGTCCTTTCCCGCCYGTGTGCATGCGCACTCTCGTGGGCTCGCCACTTCGCCACCTTCCTTCCTAATTCTGCGAGTTTGTTGGGGTTAATTTCGCAGCTCAGCTATAGGTGAGGGAACATCGGGTGGAGCTGACTGGGTCCCRGGTGGGTCACGCAGTGCCGACAGATGCGCCTGCTGCACCTGGCCCTCTGACCCTGGGACGAGGCTGAGAGCCCTTTACTCCCGGGGAGGACACGCGCATCTTGCTTGGTGAGGACAGTGTGGGTATGGCATGGGGAGGGCGTCCCTAGGTGTGTGCGGAGGGATGTGCAGGAGTCACAGAAACAGGGACTGTCCTGGCAAGTCTTTGTCCCTCTGCTCCACTCCCGCCTCCCCCTCCTGGGAGGCTGCACTCTGCTCCTCTCTTGGCAGCAGTCCGGCCTCTACTGGAGGGAGGGAGGCACTTGGCGTTTCTTGCCTGCTTCCTGTTTCCTGTCTTTTGGTTTCTTCCTACTTCCTGTGTCATCCGTGTGCTGCTTCACCTGGCAGAGGCTGTGCCTTTCTCAGCAGCAGCTAAGACCAGTTTTCAGTTGTTCCCACAACTGGAGATCAGCCCTCTGTGCCCCTCAAAGACACCAGCACCCACCACCCACCGAGAGGCACCCACCCACGGGTGCTCGTCTTTAATGACGTCCACCTCTTCCCTCTGCTGTGTGGCCTGGGCCTGGTGGTCTCGCCTTGAGCTACTGCCTCTATGATACCGAGTTCTCTTTTTGCTCTTCTAGTTACCTAGTTAGCAACCTTAACCTGGTTAAACATTTCTGCAGATTAAATTTTCTGTTCAAACAACCGTGTGGTTTCTGTCTCCTACTGGACCTGGCCTGGGTAGCTTTTCTGCAACACAGAACCAGGAAACCAAAAGCTTATCTCCCTGGATGCAAATCAGGTGTCAGCCGCCCAGAGACCTGAAAGGAGTCCAGCCGGGGCCTCTTGCTCACCAGCCTTCCTTCTTGCTTCCTTCCCACCCACTGAGGTTCGTCCTCAACCTTTTTTGTTCTTTGAGACAGAGCCTCACTAATTTGCGGAGCTGGCCTCAGACTTGAGATCCTCTGCCCCAACTCCTGAGCAGCTGGGGTCACACTGGCCTCCGAGCACCTTCAAGTCTGATGGCGCTGTCCTTGGGGACGTGCTGATTTCTGTCCTTTGGATCTTGTGGATGCCGCTGCAGGGCTCTGT